TTCTCGACACCACGGACCATGAGTCCCGAGACGCACATTCGCTTAGCAGATCCGTTTCCTCCTTGTGCGAAATTCGTGCGGCATTTCAACGGCGTGACTTCGATCCACGGAGCGACCAGTGAGGACTTCGAAGAGGACCCATGGATGACCGTCGTCCCGTGCATGGACGGTAATCTTGACAGTTGGTGCGAGGGCAATTGGGCCACCATGGAGAGTGGCTGCCCTTGGGCAAGCCAGTACAAGTTCGCCAACATGTTAGAGTTTGGGAACCTCATTCCGCTGCCTGACGCTGTCCTCGGACACAAGTTCCTAAACCGTATGCGCAGAGCACTGAGCTGCATTAGCCGGTATTTTAGTCGCCTCGAGTGCCACTACGTCAAGTCGTCACCACGAACTTGGGGAGGCTCGCGGAAACAAGAGTTGGTGGACTGCGCTCGTCACTGCTCGTTCCTGGAGCAGTACCCACTCCGTTGCCCCGGGATTTCTCCACAAGTTGTGTCATACTATTGTGTACGGTTGATTGTATCCGGATCTGATTTCACCAGAGTTCTATGTGTCGCTACTTCGAACAAAAGTAGGAAACTCGTCGATGCTTTTGTGCTTGTATCATGCAACGAGGTGGTAATTGAGGGGTCCAAATTCCTGCCGACTCGTGGGCCTGCACGTGTAGATGGGTGGCGAGATTTGGTGATAGCAGGGCAGGTCCAAAACTTTTCGATGTGGCGTGCGGTGGAGGAGAAAGTGTCTGACATACGGGACTATATAGGAAATTCCTTAGCACGACCCGGAGTGTTTGTTAGGATGAAATACATGTCCGTTTTTTCGGAGAGTGCATCAGTCGACGAACCGCAGATCCACGTATACGGATCATCAATGAATGCTTTGTATGGCTTCGGTTCACGACCTCGTCCCCGAGGAACCCCGAATGTCAGTGGATCTGGACGGGTAGTCAGACCTTGTGTTAAAGGGAAAAGAAGGGAGAGAGGCTTGTGTGTTGCCGAAAATGACAGATTTGAAGTGGTGGAGAGAAGTGTGAGAGCCAACAGTTGCCAGTAGACGCTATACCGCGCACTTGTGGTGCAACTCCCTGATCGTCGTTCAGTTCAACAACCACCGAATTACAGATCGTCTGTCTCTGACGCCGTCTCTTTCCATGTCGCGCTGTGCTGAAGTTCGGATCCCGACGAACTTCGCGTTTTGGGCTGTGCGTCGGTTTGTCTTTGGTCTTGCTGGTGTCGGGCGGACCGCACGAACCACCTGGCACCACGAGCACGGCTTAGGAGCGCTGTCTGCATGGGCTGACGCGCCTCGAGCTTTTTCATGACCGTGAAGCAGCAGAAACTCAGGTGTCGGCGCACTGCAAGTTAGCGAGTAGCCTATGATGTGAGTGTGGTCTGGTTTGTTCCCCGTTAATTTCAAAACGTCGCGAGTCGACATTCGTATCCTGTCACTCTCTCTCTGGCTCTCTCACTCTCGCACCCTTTTTAAGTTCGGATCCCGGCGAACTTCTCGTGCTCGCCAGTTCCAATCTGGGTTCCGTAATATCTCCGCGGTTGGAGGCCACAGGCCCGTCCGACTGGCATCCGAGCTTCGAGTGCTGGGTGGAGACCAAAACCCCGTCCAGCGCAGCCTTCGAAAAGGTCCTGCCACCCATTCCGCCTGGACATGCTCGCGATCTAAGTCCGCCGCCAACCGATCTTCAAAAACACTTTCCGTGCGCGGGATGGTTGTCGCCCGACCACCATCAACATGTGCCAAACAGTCAGTCATTATCGTTGTGAAATGCCAAAAGCACTCTTAGGGGTCCATGTTGCGGGGTTCGGGTCCGTTTGGCGCAGAGTTTGGCGTTGGCTGAACAAATCTGGGGCACAATGAGCACAAGGTCCTCGTCGCGAGAGCTTCGCGTTTCCTGAAACTCATGGAGATCCCGGTTGGCGGGCCTTCTTGTTGGATTTGAATCTGTTTTGAGCAGAGTTTCGCACTCCATAAACATAATTCCCCTCTAGTTCCCGTAGGTTATTAGTTGTTCGGGCAGTCTTTCGAGATGCTGAATCGCAACTGGGGCGAGTTTGGTGAGCCTTCTCATTGGATCTGGATCTGTTTTGAGCAGAGTTTC